GGAGAGAGGGCTCTCACAGGCCCCTCTCCCAACTCAGTTTCAACCCATCCCCAGGAAGCCAAACCAGGAGTGTGGCTGGGAAAAAGCCAGGTGACCCTGAGGCATCCTCAAGGACCAAGATTATTGGGCTTGTCCAGAAGCCAGGCCCTGGTGGGCAGCACGAGTTAGTGCCATATTGGCTAGGCCCCCATGACTCTCCTCAGAGCAAAGGCTCCCCTGTGCATCTGACCCCATCCATGCAAGGCAGCAGGGCTTCCAAAGGACCACCCGGGAGCCATGTATGCAGGGAGCTGGTTGAGGAGACAGGGGCCAGCAGGAGCCAGAGGAGGACCTGCCTCATCAGGGAGGGCTGTAGGGAAAAGGTGAGCTTTGAGCAAGGAAAACGAACAGCCTGTGTGAGAGAAACAGGCAGGCAAGAGAGTCCCTGAGCACCCTTTACTTGGCTGGCCAGAGCTGGGGGAAAACAGAAACAAAAAATGTCTAGCTCCTCTCCATTTACCTAGTAGGCCAGGCCACCAACCCTCCTCCCAGGTTCCTAGAGCCAGAAGGATTTCGCTGGCAGGCTGGACCACCAGCCCCTCCCCACCTCAAGGACGCTGCTGAGAAGGCACTTCCTCCACAAGCCCCCTAACTTGTCCCTGCAGACACAACTACAGCAGAGAGAGAGAAAAGGAAGGAGAAAAACTCACATACCTCATTCCATACAGGGTTCACACTGTTCTTGATGACTTTGGTTCTCTTCTTCACCCCTATAAGACACAAAAGGAAGAGTGGGGAGACACATCCCGCCCTGCACCTTCCACTGAGTTAGACTCAGCTTCTGAGACCTGTGCTTCAGCTCGGTCGCCAAGGGAAATCTTACAAAACCAACAGATTCCCCGCGAACCCACCAGTCTGCAATGAATCCCCAGTGCCAGTCACACAACTTCCCCCTGTCAGCTCTGGGACCTCAGAAACATGTTTTCAAAAGAAAGTACCCAGGTCGACTCTCCTTATTGAGTTTGTTATTGTTATTTCTGACTTTTTAAATAATTTTTTTTTTTGAGACGGAGTCTGGCACTGTTGCCCAGGCTGGAGTGCAGTGGCGCGATCTGGGCTCACTGCAATCTCCGCCTCCTGGGTTCATGCCATTCTCCTGCCTCAGCCTCCCGAGTAGGTGGGACTACAGGCGCCCGCCACCACGCCCGGCTAATTTTTTGTATTTTTAGTAGAGACGGGGTTTCACTGTGTTAGCCAGGATGGTCTCAATCTCCTGACCTCATGATCCACCCACCTTGGCCTCCCAAAGGGATTGCAGGGGTGAACCACCACGCCCAGCCTAAATTTTTTAATTATAAATTTTCTGATTCTAGCTTTTTTTTTTTTTTTTAGAGACAGCATGTCTCTCTGTTACCCAGGCTGGAGTGCAATGGTGAGATCATAGCTCACTGCAGCCTCAAACTCCTGGGATCAAGCTATCCTCTTACCTCAGCCTCTTGAGTAGCTGGGACCACAGGCACACACCACTAGATCCAGCTGGTGTGTGTGTGTGTGTGTGTGTGTGTGTGTGTGTGTGTGTGTAGATGGGGGCCTCACTATATTGCCCAGGCAGGTCTCGAACTCCTGGCCTCAAGGGATCCTCCCACCTTGGCCTCCCAAAGTGCTGGGATTACAAGTGTGAGCCACCACATCCAGCCTTCTAATTTTAGAAATGAACCATCTTCCTAGAAAGTATTTCATTTCTCTTTTGAACTATATCTACCTCCAGAAATTATAGGATTCCATCTATAAGAAATGTCCAGAATAAGCAAATTCATAGAGACAGAAAGCAGATTAGTTGTTTCCAGGGGCTAAGAAAAGGGAAAGGGAAGATGGAAATGGGGCGTGATTGATTAAACTGTATGGGGCTTCTTCTTGAGGTGACAAAAATGTTCTGGAATTAGATCATGATGTTGATGGTACAACATTGCAACCTAAAACCACATAAATTATATACTTTGAAATGGTTAAAATGGTGAATTTTATGATATGTTAATTTTACTTCCATTAAAACAAAATCCACTTCACCCTCCAAGGCCTTGAAGAGGTCTGTCTGAGGCAAGCTGTCCCAAGGAAGCTCTGTGTGGCTGGGAGGGCCGGCTGAGGGCATGCAGAATGGCTTTGAGGTGGACAAGAAGATCTAACACTTTGATAGCTGAGAGCTCACCCACAGTGCCCCAAACGATGCACGGCAGAAGCCCTTCCTCTGGAGCGGTGGGCATGAAGGGGCGAGTGCCTGTCCCCAGTGAGGTGGGACAGGTGAGGCTTGAAAGAAAAGTGGCGAGGGAGATGCACAAGGAGACCCCCCTCCTAGGGCAGGTTCTACAGCTGTGAGCAGGGAGGTCATTTCCATAGAAGAGCCGTAGGCTGGGAGAAACAGGCAGCTGCCGCAGCCACTGGTCCTTTACTGGGCTGGCAAGTGCATTTCTCTCTGAATGATCCACAAAACAAGGAGTTTGGACAGAGCTTCGGCCCTCTCCGCTTGAGGGCCCACCGTGTGGACTGACAGGTCAGAGCGAGGGGTTCCCCCACGAAGCCCAGTAGGTCTGCAGACATATCTTCCATGAAGACACTGACCCACAGAAAGAGTGTGGAAAGACCCAGAGAAGAAGAGAAAGCATTTAATGAAGCTTTGTTCTGCAGTGCTCTGGGGAGCACAGGAAGGGCTACCCATGTCTGACTTTTCCAGTAAGCATCAGGAACAGAAATGATGGGGCGTTCAAGGGGTTCAGACTGACACCGAACTTTTATTTGGGTCGGCTCTTAAAGATCACCTCATTCCACCCGACCTGTGCAAGACTCAGTGGAAAGCCTTTGGTCTCCACCTGGATGGCTCAGCATTCAGAGAGTCCTGCCTGGACCACGAAAGCCCCTTGAGCCTCTGGCAACATCTCCCAGGAGCCCCAGTAAGCTTTGGAGTCAAGCACATCAGTGCCCATTCAGCCTGGAGAGGTGCAGCCTCCTGTGGGGTTGGCCCCACCTGCCAGGTTCAGAGCCTGAAGAAGAGGAGAACGGAAGCAGAGAGGGATCGAGGAGGCAGGCAAGGGGTGAGGGAGGATTTGAAGAAGAGGAGAGAGAAATAGAAAGAGAGAGAGAGAGCGCACACGTGAGAAGAAGCAAAAGACCATCTGAGAGAGGGAGGCAGAGAGGAGCTCAGGGAGATTCTAAGGGAGTTATCTTGTAAATATTTGCTCGCTGTAGTGAGTCCTGCAGAGATTCCAACAAACCTCCGGCAGGGAGAGGGTGAGCTCCCAAACTCCCTCTCCCGCTGCGAATCACTGATCATGGAAAAAATCACGAAATTTGAAGTCACAGACCACTATAAAACACTTATTTCCTGTGATTCTTTGAGGCAGCAGTTCAGACTTTTTGGTCACAGGATGTCGCTGTTAAAAATTATTGAGGATGCCAAAGAGCTTCTACTTAGGTGGCCTGTATCCATGAATTTTTACATTAGAAATTATAACTGAAGCATTTAAAAATAATTATTTAGTAGTTAATTTTAAAATCACAATAATAAGCCCAATAAATATTAACATAAGTGACACATCTATAACAACAATAACAAAAAACTGTAACTTCCCAAAAAAGGAAAAGTGACACTTTTAGATTTTTGCAAATCTCTTTAATGCCTGGCTTGATTCTCGTAACTATTAATACCTCAGCATTCAAACTGCTAAGACTCCTCATTTTGGTTGATGTCTATGAAGAAAATCCAGCCAGATATGTAGTTGGAAAGGGAGGCCTATTATAATAAACTTTGAGATAATTGTGAATATCCTTCTCTGATACTACATCAAAACTCAACAAGTATTAGTTCTTAACTTCTTAACAGTGAGTTGCAATGTGAAATCTGAAACCAGACCAACGAAGAGTTTGTACTCTGCTACGTTAAAATTCATTGTTCTATCTTGCACTTTGAATGAATCTTTCACCCACGTATGATTCTGTAACGGCTGCACTGGTCATTTGGAAAATTTGTGTTTAATCAGTTATGTAGATCTTCCAGATGTTGACACATTTCATAATGCCCTAACAAAAAATTACACTCATTCATAATGTCACCATCAGCCTTCATAAGGAGGTAGGGTGATTGAGCAAGCTGCCTGCTTTACAGCTTTCTGTCTTACAGCCTGTTTTTTTCAAGCTCTGTGTAGCAGGCGGTCACCTAGTGGGCTAAAACCAGTTCCTGACAGGCCCCAGGAACTTATAGATGAACCCCAGTGAACTTTCCCCATGACCACGCTAAAGCCTGCACCCCAGGAGACCTGTAGCTTCATTACCATAACATGCGACCTATGTGCTGGCACCTGACTCACTGCATCTGTGCCACTGGGAACCCTCCTCTACATGCCATTATGCACCCTGTCCCCTCTCCGTTGCCCCATAAAACCCTCCTGTCACTTTCCCTCAGGGAGACACTGCTTTGTCCCGGTGCTCTGGCTTGTGACAAGTAATAAAACTCCTATTGATCAAAACCTGCATTCTCATGCAGAGTCGTTTGTTACTCCCCATGTGAACAAATCCCAGTTTGGGGGAAGTAACACTTTCAGTACTGGGAAGCTGGAAGTTACTTCTCAAAGTTTTCTAAACTCCAATTTCTGCTTGAAAGCTCAAATTTTTTTGATTGGCAGCAAGTGGTATTTCAAGCCATTTTCCTTGAAATGGCAGGCTTACTCTTTCATTTTTAAGAAAATATCTGCCCAATGTCCAGATCACATAACTATAGTTTGTCAGTCATTCTTTAAAGTAAAAACAGTATTCCATGAAAAAAAAAAAAAGCAGCTAGTTGGTTTGTCACTCAAGCAGTGAGTCCAGTGCTTTTCCTGGAGACAGTCATCGCTCTGTGATGGGCAGCAGAGGTGCTCTATACATACTTCCCATTCCATCACACAGAACATTCTCAACACCTGTACAGGAGGATTCAAACTGATCCTGTTACTGCTTCATCAAGGACACTCTTTTTTTTTTTTTTTTTTTTCTGATGCTTTTCATTATCACAGAACACACCACCTGTAATGTGTGCAAAAAGGAAATGAGGGGTGGAAGGAGAGGAAGTCAAATTGGGAAAGGCTGGATGGTCACTTCATTTCTTCTCTTTCTTCTTATCCTTTTCATTCATGGCCAGGATCATCATGAGTTTTCTGAAGAGAGTAACAAAATCTAAGAAGAGATCAATGCAGTGCCAGATATAATCTTGATCTCCATTTTCGGCCTTTTCAATAAATGAGTTGAGTATCAAAAAGGACAAAGCCACACATGACCACCAGTCCCACATACAGGTTTGCCTGGAAAAGCCAAATGGATCCAAAGAAAACATTCCCCACGGAAGACAAAAGCAACAGGCTCAGGGCTGACATCAAGATACCTCCCAGAAAGAGGTAGCTACGGCGCCGGGCATAGAGTTCACTGAGGGTGAAGCAGATGAAGATCATTGCTGTGCCCATGAAAGTGGTGGGAAGGATGCTGGGGTTGACAGCAATACAAAATTCCAGGGCAGGGCCCAGGCCAACTCCTGTAAGGAAAGCAAATCCAGCAAGAAGTCCCAGTCTTTTCTGCTCAGTTTCATGGCTATGAGGTGTTGCCATCAGCCAAATCATCAATATCAGGGAGCCCCAAGGACACTCTTAAACGAAGCTGCCTTTTTATTTTTAATTGTGAGTGCATGCAATCTAAAAAACACAAGAAGCACAATTTAGTGCCAAGGCCTTTTTTTTTTTTCCTTGAGATGGAGTCTCGCTCCAGTCACCCAGTCTGGAGTGCAGTGGTGTGATCTCGGCTCACTGCAACCCCCGCCTCCCAGGTTCAAGCGATTCTCCTGCCTCAGCCTCCCGAGTAGCTGTGACTAGAAGTGCCCACCACCTAGCTTGGCTAATTTTTGTATTTTTAGTAGAGACGGGGTTTCACCATGTCGGCCAGGCTGCACTCAAATTCCTCAGCTCAGGTGGTCTGCCCACCTCAGCCTCCCAAAGTGCTGGGATTACAGGCGTGAGCCACCACGCCCAGCCTGCCAAGGCCTTGATTAGTGTTAAGGTCCCAGTAGCATTAGCTGCCATTTTTGTTGTACCATCAGTACAAATGTCCAAACAGTGAAAAAGGCAGTTGTTGTGAAGGAGTTTTGACCTTCTGACCTGTTGAAAGAATCTTGAGGATTCCCCCCAGTTTCCATGTACACTTTAAGAACTTCTTAGGGACGGGCAAGGTCCTCACACTTGTAACCCCTGCAGTTTGGGAGGCTGAGGCGGGAGGATCGCCTGAGGCCAGGAGTTCAAGACTAACCTCGGCAATATAGTGGGGCCCCATCTCTACAAAAACTTTTAAAAATTAGCCAGATGTAGTGGTGCATGTGGTGCCTGTGGTCCCAGCTACTCAAGATGCTGAGGTGGGAAGTTTGCTTGAGCCCAGGAGTTTGAGGCTACAGTGAGCTGTGGTCATACCACTGCACTCCAGCCTGGCCAACAGAGCAAGACCCTGTCTCTAAAAAATAAAATAATCTCTTAGGAAATTCATTTAACATTTCTGCCTCAATTTCATCATAATAATACCTACTTCACAAGAGGTTGTTGTGAAAATTACCAAGATAGAATGTTGAGGTGCCTGGCACATAGCATGCTGATTACATGTGAGTTTCTTTCTCCTGCCCTTCCCTCTGTGCCCACTCTGATGGATCTAGTGAACTCCTACTGACTCTTCAGCACCCAGCACGGTTGTCTTTCCTCTGGTAAGACTCCCCTGACTCTCCCAAAAGAGGCAGCTGGTCTCTCTTTGGTGCTCCCTAACCAAGCTGTGACCACATGTGCAGCACAGCAGCATAGCAGTGTTTGTCTAGCTCTGAACCCTCAACTGGGCTGGGAGTTTCTGACAGCAAACACCATGCCTTACGCATGTTACTAACAGTAACCCTAGTCTATAGCGAGGTGGCCAGTAATCGGGTGCTGAGCGAATGGGTCCTTTTCTTTCCATGTTGACTGCAAGTTTACTTCCTCACGAGAGGATAGAAGCGCTGTTTCCAGGGAACGCCCCAAGACTTCATTCATGGTGTGGCTGTTTGTCAGCGGAGGGAGGATGAAAGGAGGCGTCATGTAGGGGAAGGGTCCTGGCTGAGCCACTTCAAATTCTCTGTGGCCCATGTTGGTGTGGCTCCAGCAGGAGTCAGACACACCGCTTTGGAGTCACTCGACTAACAGCCACCTTAGGGAAGACCTTAGGAAGGACTCATAACCTCCAGGCCTTGCTCCTCAGCAATCAATGGATCATAACAAAAGTGTTTGCTGCACAGGGTTCTGAGGAGGCCTGAGATGCAAGCTACATGTCCACTTCCCCTCCCCTATCACAGATCAGCTTCCTGTGACCTACAGGAGTAACATGGAAAATTCCATCTGCAGCCTCTCCTGAGCTGCACACTTGGAAACTCATTTCCTGGTGCTCCAGGCTTCCTTAAGTGAGCGATATCTGTGTGCCAAGCCCTGTGCTAAATATCTTTTAATCATTTTCCACTTCCTACCTTCCCTGAAGATGAGGAGAATAAAAGCCCTCAATGAGATTTCACTAAGTCCTGGTTGGAAGGGCCAACTCTGGGACCCTCTTGGGTAACATGAAGGAAGGGGTCACTCATGGGTGCTGCAGCCCCAAAGAGGAGCAGAAACAAATGAAACATTCACTCAGCACAATCACGTGATTTACAGACACCAAGAAAAGGGAAGGCACATTGATAATTAGGAAACAGTTAAGAAAATAGTTCCTCATCATGGATTTCGACCCGCCCTGTTCCTGATCACTAATTTTGGCCTTGAGAGATGTGGCTTTATGCATGTAATTTAGCAGAAGTTTAAGATACAGGAAATCTCACAGCTTATGCGGGGTGAGGAAAGGGGGCCCTGCCCTCTTCCCAAACTGCTCTGAGGAACTGGGGACCAGCAGCAGGTGTAAGAATCATTATGAAACCCCGAGGTGCTAGACTGAGTGACTCAGCCAATTACAAAAAGACAAATAGTGTATGATTCCATTTATATGAAGTACCTAGAGTAGTCAAAATCGGTCGGGCACGGTGGCTCACGCTTCTAATCCCAGCACTTTGGGAGGCGGATGCGGGCGGATCACCTGAGGTCAGGAGTTCGAGACCAGCCTGACCAACGTGGAGAAACCCTGTCTCTACTAAAAATACAAAATTAGCTGGGCATGGTGGCGCATGCCTGTAATCCTAGCTACTGGGGAGGCTGAGGGAGGAGAATCGCTCAAATCTGGAAGGCAGAGGTTGTGGTGAGCCGAGATCACACCATTGCACCCCAGCCTGGGCAACAAGAGCAAAGCTCTGTCTCAAAAAATAAAAAATAAATCATAGAGAAAGTAGAACTGTGATTACCAGGGACAGTGGGGGAGGGGAATAGGGAGTTAGTATTCCATGGATACAGAGTTTTGGTTGGGGAGGATGACAAGTTCTGGAGATGGTGATAACTGCACAAAGATTAATGCCACAGAACTGTATACTTAAAAATGGCTAAGATGATGCATTTCATGTTATGTGCATTTTACCACCATGTTTTTTTTAAGTCCAGGTGAGAAAGGGTGTGGACATAGATGGTGGGCCTGAGGTCTACCAGCCAGTATCAGCTTGGGGAATGGGAAGGAGGAGGAGCAGAAGAGGTCTCCCATGCTCCAATGTCCCTCCTAGAGAGGGGACAGAGAGAAGGAGAGGAGTTGCGGTGTCTCAGACTCCCAGTGAGAGAGACAGAGAGACAGCTGCATCTGCCCATGAGTCAGGCAACAGGAGTTACTCTCAGAAGCTGCAGGGGGCTTTGGATCCTACAGTAGCCTGGATGCAGACTCTTGCTTTTCCCCCAAATATTTATTGAGGGCTTACTTTGTGCAGGGCATTTCTTGACGGCCCCATTAGAATTCTCATAAGACCAAGAAAGTGACAGAAATTCAAAGAATCAGCAGAAAACCCCAAGGCAGCAGCAAGTGAAAGAAGGAAAGATGGCCCTAGCCTGGGCTGAAGGAAGGGCCTGTATTACCTCTTGGTACAGACACCCCCAAACAAAAAGCACAGGTAGATGGTCATTCTGACGCCTGCGCTGCCATGGTTTACTCAGGCCTAGACACCCCAGGATCTGGGCAGCTTCTCCCCTATCACCCTCAGAGCACTGCTCCTCTCCCCCTCAACCACCCTCCACCCCACCTTTCTAAATCCTAGCTGGAACCACAGAAGTGGCCGAAAAGGGAAGGAGCCATGGTGAAATGCACTTCAAGAGAAGTAGTCTTAAAACTCAGAAGGCCAATTAGAAATGGGGAAGATATTTACATATAATTTTTACTTGCCAATTAAAAAAAAAAAACAGAACTGGGGAAGATGTTAGAAACATCTATGACAAAAATGGTAACATTCTCAATATATAAAGAGCACTTGCAACTAATGAAGAAAAAGACAAACATGCCCCACCATGGGCAAATGAAAAAGTAATTCAGTAAGAATAAATACGAATAGGTGATAACAATGAAGTATCACAAATAGTATTTGTACCTTAAGAACGTGTCAAAGATTTATAGGACAGTGCTTTGTGTTAGCAGGATTATTAGAAAAATAAGTCCTCATACTTGGCTGACAGGAGAATAAAGTTGATACAGACTTTATTCAATTTAGACTTTAAGAACAATTTGGGAAATGCAGCAATGCATTAAATCTGTCTATAACCTGTGACATAGCAATTTATCTTCTGGTATTTACCCAAAGGAAATAATTAAATATGTGGCCAAAGATTTAGTCACCAGAATGTGCCTCACAGTGACTGTATAATTTAAGCACTGGATATAAATATAAACATTTATATAACCTAAATATTCATCAATAGGAGGTTGAGTAAATTAATGATGGTACATTCATATAATAAAATATTATGCAGACATTTTAAAAGGTTTTACAGAAGAATACTTACTGACATAAAAAATGCCCCTTTTTTAAATTAATTAATTAATTTTTTTGAGGCAGAGTGTCATTCTGTCATCCAGGCTGGAGAGCAGTGGTGAGATCTCGGCTCACTGCAGCCTCCGCCTCCTGGGTTCAAGCGGTTCTTGTGCCTCTGCCCCCCCAAGTAGCTGGGATTACAGGCACGCACCACCATGCCTATCTAATTTTTGTATTTTTTAGTAGAGACGGGGTTTCACTCTGTTGAGGCTGGTCTCAAACTCCTGGCCTCAAGCAATCTGCCCACCTCAGCCTCCCAAAGTGCTGGGATTATAGGCGTGAGCCACCACACCCGGCCCCCTGGTTTATTTTTCAGCAAATGTGCAAACATTGCTGAAAGAAAGAGTCTGGAGACTTCTGGTGGAGAAATGGGACTGACCAGGTGCTATTTCTTGACCTGTTTGACCTGGGTGATATCACACAGGTATTCTCTTCACACACATATTTATTCTCCACCATGGCATTATTACTATTTGGGCTGAATAACTGTGGTTGGTGTGGGGGACCTCCCCTTGCACTGTGGAATGTCTAGCAGTATCCCCGGCCTCTACCCTGTAAATACACACCCTGTGCCGCCGACCCCTGTGGCAACAGCCCAAAATGTCTCCAGACATTGGCAAATGTCCTCTGAGGAAAAAACTGCCCCCAGTTGAGAACTACTGTATGAAATCATATATTTATATCTTCTGTACTATGCTTGTATGTTAAATTTCATAATTAAAATTTTTTTAAAAGGGAAAAAAATGTTGGAGGAAACGTGTCAAATTGTTAACGAGTTAATTCGGCGTGGCATGATTTGGGGCTATTTTTTACTTTTGCCTCATGCCTTTCTGTAGTTTGTCATTTTTAACAGCAAGTACATATTATGTTTCTAAAAAGAAAACAGGCCAGGCGTGGTGGCTCACGCCTGTAATACAAGCACCCTGGAAGGCCAAGGCGGGTGGATTGCCTGATGTCAGGAGTTCAAGACCAGCCTGGGCAACATGGTGAAACCCCATCTCTACTAAAAAAAAAAAAAAAAAAAAAAAATTGGCCAGGCATGGTTGCAGGTGCCTGTAATCCCAGCTACCTGGGAGGCTGAGGCAGGAGAATCACTTGAGCCCGGGAGGCGGAGGTTGCAGTGAGCTGAGATCGCGCCATTGCACTCCAACCTGGGTAATAAGAGCAAAATTCAATTTTCAAAAAAAAAAAAAGAAGAAGAAAGAAAGAAAAGAAAGAAGGAAGGAAGGAAGGAAGAGAGGGAGGGAGGGAGGGAGATGGAAGAAAAAAGGACATAAAGCTCTTTTCTTCTTCTTTTTTTTTTTTTTTTTTTTTTTTTTTTTGAGATGGAGTCTTGCTTTGTTGCCCAGGCTGGAGTGCAGTGGCGCAATCTTGGCTCACTGCAACCTCCATCTCCCGAATTCACGCCATTCTCCTGCCTCAGCCTCCTGAGCAGCTGGGACTACAGGCACCTGCCACTACGCCCAGCTAATTTTTTTGTATTTTTAGTAGAGATGGAGTTTCACCGTTTTAGCCAGGATGATCTTGATCTCCTCATCTCGTGATCCGGCCACCTCAGCCTCCCAAAGTACTGGGATTATAGGCGTGAGCCACCGCACCCGGCCGCTGTTTTCAATATTTTAAGTCATTTGTGATGTGTAAACAGCTAGGTTCAGAGAGTCCGGGGCCTTCAGCCCACTTTCCCTACACAGGTGAGTGAAGAGTGTTCCCTGAGGATAGGAATCCACCTCCAACTAGTTCTATAAGATCTCCCGACTCCTGCCCAAAATCTAGAGACCCCCAGGAGATAGAGAAGAGGAGGTGGGAGGGGGAGGCTGGAGGAGGAGACGCCCTGACAGGACTGACAGGATGAGGGAGAGGGAAGCGTCAGTAATGACTTCTGGGTTCCGGGCTGATGACACAGGGCAGAAATTCACCAAGTGGGGACACAGCAGATCCAGCCTTCAAGGAAATAAGATGTTTCAGCTTTAAAGCAGCAGGGATCTGGTTTTGTTCTTGCATGCATCCAAGCACCTAGAACAACAGCACCAGGCACATAGTAGGTACTCAGTAAATGTTTGTTCAATGAACTAAATGCATGAATAGAGGTATATAAATAATCACATTACGGAATGGAAAATGGGCAGGGCAGAAAAGAAGTACAGACGATTAAATACTATAGGAAATTAA